AAAATAATAGTAATATAAATATAAATATAAATTTAAATATAAATATAAATATAAATATAAATATTGGTGACGCCACCATGACTATTACATGTGTCGATAATAATAATATAGTCGCCATCTCGGGGTTGCAATATGTCAACCGATTTATTCCTTTCTAATCCAGACTACCTGTCTCTTTCCTTCGAAAAACTTGACCTAGGCTTCCGACATGTGGTCAGTCTATTCTAGTTGATTCCGAGTTCTGTTTCGTTCTAGTTTGCTTCCAGTTCCGCGTTCAATTCGCTTCCAGTTCCATCAGTACGCTTTCAGCCTGCTTTCCTTCTCTGGTTCAGTTTCGAGTTTCCTTCCGAGTCAGTCGAGTTTAGAAGTTTTGTTGTTCCTTATATTGTTCAAAGTGAGGTCATTTTTTAGTTTGTTATTATCATAGAAGAAGAACGTTTTTTAGTTTTAAATACAGTCCATATACAGCCCAAGAATACCAGCCATCCGTGTGGTCTGCTAATCGAATTAAGGCCACACCACATTTTGGCCTTCCGAGCCGGATCTCAATTAAATTGAGAGTTTCTACAAGTTGCCGATTCAGAATCTAAGTACTAATTTACAAGTATATATATATTTGCATTTACCGGATATCAAGGTAAGGTTATTATTTCCAAGTTTCTTATATAATCCTAAATATGCCGCCCAAGAGTGTATCTGCCAGTGCTGAAGTCGCACGACTAATTTCAAAACGAGAAATGTATTTTTCCATTATACAGAAGACGTATGACATGAGCAGAGATGTGGAAGATGCGTCAAGCAAGCAACAATTCTGTACGAACCTGGTAATGTTAGATAACATTCGAGATCAATTCATAAAACTTACCGACGATATTAATAAATTAAACGCGTTGGAAAATCCCAGTTTCGTACCGGATTATGCTGCCCTTCTATCCGTGGAACAATTATACGCGGAGATAAAATACATTGAAAAAACTATTTCTGCTGTAAATAATACTTCCTCTTTTACAAAAAGTGAAGATTCCCCATCTAAGTTTATTTCAAAATCCCATCTACCAACAATTGAAATACCCAAATTTGCGGGTGATTTAAAAAAATGGCCGCTGTTTTACGAAACATTTAAAACACTTATACACGAGAATCCCGAGATTGATATGATATCCAAATTTCATTATTTAATGGGCGCATTAGAAGGCCCAGTAATGAAAATTTTCAATACTATCTTACCTACCGCCAATAATTATTCAATTTTATGGGAAGCATTGATAAACAAATACGAAAATAAACGTTATCTGGGCATTAACTATTTCAAACAGTTAATGTCTTTTAAAACTGTAAATTCATCACAGTTGCATAACTTCATCGAGAAATTTGACACTGCTGTACAAGCATTAAATCAATTAAATATTCCAGACCTGTATGATTTTTTACTAACATCGGTCGCTCTATCCAAATTAGATACCAATTTACAGGAAAAATTTGAAAATTAATTTTAGGGCGAATATCCTTCCTATAAAGAATTATTACAATTCATAAATAAAGTACAAAAAGGTCAAAGTTATATTTATGATTTACGCGAGAAGGTTACGAAACCCAACATTTCTCATGCTTTGGTAACCAGCGGTGTCAAATCGCTTCAATGTTACTTATGCAACGAAAGTCATAATATTTTTTAATGCTCGCAATTTCTAGAATTAAATATCAATGACAGATGGTCGGCAATTAAGAGATTGAATCTTTGTTCGAATTGCCTGGGTTATAAACGTAACAATCCGTGTCATTCTAAGAAAACATGTTTGTATTATAATACAAAACATCATACTTTATTACATTCAAATAATTGTGTTGACAATACAAAACAATTTCCAACAGATATTCATTCCAAAAATTCGAAGCAAAAAATTTCCGATTCCAATCCAAGTAATACTTTATGCGTTGTAAATAAATCAGATTTATCACAGGTATTAAAACTAGTCCGTTACGTGTCATTATTGATACCGCAAGCGATCGCACCTATGTGACTGAGTCATTCTGTAAATCCGCTCAACTAGAGATAACACCGATCGAGGCTCACGGTAACTCTTCACAAAAAATTGCGTGCATGACAAATTTTATTATTATGTCGAATGATTGTTCCTTTCAAATGTCTGTATGTGCCTATGTAATTCATGAAATTGTCAAACCACAACCGACCATTAAAATTCCCTTCGATTCCATTAATAAATTTTTATCTTTACAACTGGCGGATAATAAATTTTTCATTCCTCAAACTGTTAATGGAATCTTGGGTTGTGATGTATTTAATGCTATTATTATGTCAAATCACATAAAAACCGTCGATTCACATATCGCATTGGATACAAAATTGGGTTATGTAATAATGGGATCTCTTCCAAACGTTGCATCGCCTGATTCAAGTTCGACAAATCTATGCACGATTGAACATGATTCCTTATCTAAACAAATGAAAACATTTTTTGAATTAGAAGATGTACCTAACATGATTGTGTCGGAAAACGATTATTGAGAACAGTTCTATACGTCCACGACAGTACGGAATTTCGATGGACGTTACGTGGTCGCATTACCATTTCGTGGCAACGTTAATGTAAATTTTCAGAAATCATATGAACTCGCGCATAAGCGTTATTGTATTTTAGAACAAAAATTTCGGAAATCTTTTGAATTCCATAAACAATATTCAGAAGTAATTCAAGATTATTTACAACAAAAACACATGTCATTTTTAGGCCATGTAAATGATTCCGCAGCCAATGAAGGGTATTATATTCCACATTTCGCCGTGATTAAAGACAGCTCCTCCACACCGTTACGGATTGTATTTGATGCATCAGCAAAGAATGCTGAATTTCCTTCCCTAAATGCCAACCTATTTTCCGGGCCAAAGCTACAGTCTAACATTATCACAATTCTTCTTAACTTTCGTTTTGGCGAAATTGCGTTAACCGCCAATATTAAACAAATGTACAGAAATATATTAATTTGTAATCAAGATAGACGATTTCAAAGGATACTTTGGAAATTTTCTCCGAAAGATCCCCTCGGCATTTATGAATTAAACACTGTCACGTTTGGTATTACGTCATCTCCTTTTCATGCGTTACGCACTATTAAACAACTAGCTAAAGATGAGAGCAAAAATTACCCCTTAGCCACTGATATAATTCAAAATGATATTTATATCGACGACGTGGTTACTAGTGCAAACACCATCGAAATCGCAAAACAACTTTACGTTCAATTGTCGAGTTTGTTCCGTTCCGCGCGTTTTGAACTAGCGAAGCGGGCTTCGAATGATCGTCTAATGTATAAACAATTTGAATCACACCATAAAACACAAATTAATTTTTCACAAACAATCTCTGAATTTGATACTTCCGTTAAAGTATTGGGATTGAGATGGGATCCAATTCAAGATTGTTGTAAATTTAATATCAACCTTCTCCATCAAAATTGGACAAAACGCCATATATTATCCACCATTGCTCGTATTTGGGATCCTTTAGGTTTCATTACGCCTGTTACCATCAAATTCAAAATGATCATGAAAGAACTATGGTTATTAAAATTGGATTGGGATGATTCCTCATTAGTTGCAACATGGCTTAGTATTTATAATCAACTTCCAGAATTAATTAATCTTTCCATTTCTCGATTTGTAGGTACCAAAAATTATATTCGTTGTTCTCTTTACGGTTTTGCGGATAGTTCAGAAAAGGCTTATGGGGCTGTGATTTATATCAAGCCTTGCCATGATAATAAATATTACCTTCTTATTTCAAAATCAAAAATTACTCCAATTAAAGTTCAAACTTTAGCTAGGTTAGAGTTGTGTGCGGCGCATTTATTGGCAAAATTATTATCCTTTGTCATATCTTCCAATCATCATTCTTTATGTATCGAAGAAATATATGGTTTTACGGACTCGATGATTGTGCTTCATTGGTTAACAGGACCAGCTCATAGATGGAAAACTTTTGTCGCAAATAGAGTAACGAAAGTTCATGATTTACTTCCTTCTGCCAAGTGGTATCATATTCCTTCCGAGACAAATATTGCCGATTGTGTTTCTCGTGGTTCATTACCAAATACATTGCTTAATAATAGTAATTGGTACACAGGTCCCTCGTGGCTTTACTCTCAAAGAAGTCATTGGCCCATACGTTCTGCGTTAGATTCCACGCAAAATGTTCCAGAAGAAAAGGTTTCCTCTTGCTTAGTGGTAAACTCCTGTAAAAATGATCTATACGAATTCACTTCCACTATATCATCATGGGCCATACTATGCAGAATATTTGTATTTATTTTACGTTACTGCAAAATTATTCCATCTAGAAGTGAAATATATTTTTCAGATTTCAACAAAGCCGAATTAACTATAATCAAACTTATCCAACAAATCTATTTTTTCTAAGAAATTGATTGTTTGAAAATGAATAAGTTTCCTAAAAGATATCGGACTTTACGACTATTTTTACATGATGGGTTCTTAAGAGTTGGTGGACGTTCAACACATGCTAACCTGAATTTTGATCATAAATTTCCCTTACTTTTACCCAAAAAGGATCACGTGATAAATTTAATAATTGATTATTATCATGAGAAATATTTACATGCTGGTCCACATTTACTCACTTCCATTCTTCGTCAAAGATACTAGATTTTATCCATTCGCAGTATTGTACGCCAACGTATTCATAAATGCAATAAGTGCTTTAAGAGTCATCCTAAATCCTTCACTCCTATTATGGCTGATTTACCTTCTCCTCGGGTTATGGAGGCAAAACCTTTTCAGCACACCGGTACTGACTATGCTGGTCCCTCTTGCGTAACCATGGGAAAATTTAGGGGCGTAAAAAGTTCAAAAGCATAAATTTGTTTATTTATTTGTTTTTCCACAAAAGCAATATATATTGAACTTGCCTCCGATTCAACAACTTCGACATTTTTAAATTGTTTTAAGCGCATTATTTCACAAAGAGGTCCAGTCTCTTGTCTGTATTCAGATCGCGGAACAAATTTCGTTGGGGCCAAATCAGAACTCAAAGATATATTTCAACTTATTAACTCAAAAACATTTAGTGCATCATTAAACTCCAAACTTCACAAGCATAATATCAATTGGTCTTTCAATCCGCCAGCCACTCCCCACTTGTGGGAGTCCAACATAAAATCTATAAAGGGGCATTTATATCGAGTAATAGGTGAACAAATTCTTATTTACGAGGAATTAAATACCGTGTTAATTCATATTGAGGCGCTTCTCAATTCTCGACCATTATGTTGGATGAGTTCAGATCCAAGTGATTTCCAACCTCTTACGCCAGCTCATTTCCTCACTTTGACTCCCTTAAACATCCTTCCATCAAAAAACATATTGCAAATAGATTTACCGACGCGAAAACAATTAATTGATAAAATAATACAATCTTACTGGAAGAGATTGCATTTTGAATATTTAAGTTTACAATCACGTCAAAAGTGAAGCACCCCTTCTCTCCCGGCTAAAAAGGGTATGTTAGTTCTAATCAAAAATGAAAATTTGCCTCCTCTTCAATGGTCTATGGGGGTTATTGAAGACGTTTTTCCCGGAAAAGACGGAGAAGTACGCACAGCTTTAGTAAGAACCAGGGCTACGTTATTGAAACGCCCTGTAGTAAAGCTCTGCCCCCCATCTACACAGTAATTTATGGTGAGGAAATATGTTTTTTAATATTTGCAAACGATAAAAAAAAGTCTAATGCTTTTATTTGTTACCTTTCAATTAATTCCTTCCTTTTACCATTATATGTAGTAACTTTATCAGTAACTTGCTTCTATTCAGAGGAATCGCATGACAACTCAATCACACTCAAGAGCAGCAGAATGTTATTTGCTCAGTTGTTATCACAACTTTTGAAAATATTCAAAAATCTGTATATTCAAGAATATCGACCGCTATGAATCATCATAATATTGCAGTTATTGTGAAAATGCCTTTAATTTAGAAATGAATATGGCCCCATATTGGACACACTCCAAATCCGAACTGGTTGTTTCAAATCATCAAAATAATTTCCAGTGGTGCTACATGCAAGTCTCTATAATAGCAGAAAAATGAAATTTGCCAGCATTATTACAGCAAGATACTGAGCAACTATAATATATTTTAAACAAATACAAGGTTACTGATTTCCTGTCAAGACTACTTATCCTTAATATTGATTCTGATTGGTGAACATAGAAGCATTAGATATTCCATCAAAACTTAACTTACTTCCTAGATTCAATTAAGAATCAACATGTTATTTCTTCACCATCTCTCATGTGTTTTATTTTCGCATAGTTTGACTAATGGTTTTGATATTTCCATTTATATTTTCTAGTATTTAAAAAGGTACCCTTTTCGCCCGGGGAAGAAATGGTGACGCCACCATTACTATTACCTGCGTCGATAATAATAATATAGTCGCCATCTCGGGGTTGCAATATGTCAACCGATTTATTCCTTTCTAATCCAGACTACCTGTCTCTTTCCTTCGAAAAAACTTGACCTAGACTTCCGACATGTGGTCAGTCTATTCTAGTTGATTCCGAGTTCTGTTTCCAGTTCCGCGTTCTAGTTTGCTTCCAGTTCCGCGTTCAATTCGCTTCCAGTTCCATCAGTACGCTTTCAGCCTGCTTTCCTTCTTTGGTTCAGTTTCGAGTTTCCTTCCGAGTCAGTCGAGTTTAGAAGTTTTGTTGAGTTTCCTTATATTGTTCAAAGTGAGGTCATTTTTTAGTTTGTTATTATCATAGAAGAAGAACGTTTCTTAGTTTGAAATACAGTCCATATACAGTCCAAGAATACCAGCCATCCGTGTGGTCTGCTAATCGAATCAAGGCCACACCACATTTTGGTCCTTCGAACCGGATCTCAATTAAGATTGAGAGTTTCTACAAGTTATAAATATAAATATAAATATAGATATTAATATAAATATAAATGTTAATATAAATGTAAATATAAATATAAATATAAATATAAATGTAAATGTAAATATAAATGTAAATATAAATATAAATATAAATGTAAATGTAAATATAAATATAAATATAAATATAAATATAAATATAAATATAAATATAAATAAACTAGTTGGTTTGGTATTAAGCCTTGAGGCAAGTTACATGAACTTCCTGATATGTGTAAATAATCGACTTAATCAAAAAAAAAAGTGTAAATAATAAACTTCATCAATCGTGCTTTAAAAAAAACGATAATAATTTTAGAAAAGTTTGACGAATTTTTAAAATTAAACTACTTGTCGCAAGGCCGTAATATTACAGTAAGTTCTATAAGACCATGATGTATATCGCCAAAAAAAGTTCCATGAAAATCGGCTTAAATTTTTTTTTTCAACAGTTAATTACAAGAAAACGGCTCGGTAGATTTTCACCTAAAATTAATCAGTACCATTTCCAACTAATATCTTTCGAACAGTTTTTGATTTTTTAAAATCGGTTCAGTAGGATGAGCTTAAATGTGGACGAAAAGTTTAACACTTTTTTTCAACAGTTAATTAGAAGAAAACGGCTCGGTAGATTTTCACCTAAAATTAATCAGTACCATTCCCAACTAATATCTTTCGAACAGTTTTTGATTTTTTAAAATCGGTTCGGTAGGATGAGCTTAAATGTGGACGAAAAGTTTAACACTTTTTTTCAACAGTTAATTACAAGAAAAGGGCTCGGTAGATTTTCACCTAAAATTAATCAGTACCATTCCCAACTAATATCTTTCAGTTTTTGATTTTTTAAAATCGGTTCGGTAGGATGAGCTTGAATGTGGACGAAAAGTTTAACACTTTTTTTCAAATTGCAAAGAAACGGTTCGGCAGATCGTCACACAAAACTGACAAACGATAGTCCTCACCGAAATACATCAAATGGCTTTTAAATTTCTAAAATCGGTTCAGGCGTTTTTGAGAAAACGTCGATCAATGGTCTAATTTTGACAAATGCCAAAAAAACGATACGTTTCCAGTTCCGCGTTCTAGTTTGCTTCCAGTTCCGCGTTCAATTCGCTTCCAGTTCCATCAGTACGCTTTCAGCCTGCTTTCCTTCTTTGGTTCAGTTTCGAGTTTCCTTCCGAGTCAGTCGAGTTTAGAAGTTTTGTTGAGTTTCCTTATATTGTTCAAAGTGAGGTCATTTTTTAGTTTGTTATTATCATAGAAAAAGAACGTTTCTTAGTTTGAAATACAGTCCATATACAGTCCAAGAATACCAGCCATCCGTGTGGTCTGCTAATCGAATCAAGGCCACACCAAATTTTGGTCCTTCGAACCGGATCTCAATTAAGATTGAGAGTTTCTACAAGTTATAAATATAAATATAAATATAAATATAAATATAAATATAAATGTTAATATAAATGTAAATATAAATATAAATATAAATGTAAATGTAAATGTAAATATAAATGTAAATATAAATATAAATATAAATGTAAATGTAAATATAAATATAAATATAAATATAAATATAAATATAAATATAAATATAAATATAAATATAAATATAAATATAAATATAAATATAAATATAAATAAACTAGTTGGTTTGGTATTAAGCCTTGAGGCAAGTTACATGAACTTCCTGATATGTGTAAATAATCGACTTAATCAAAAAAAAAATGTGTAAATAATATACTTCATCAATCCTGCTTTAAAAAACACGATAATAATTTTAACAAAGTTTGACGAATTTTTAAAATTAAACTACTTGTCGTAAGGCCGTAATATTATAGTAAGTTCTATAAGACCATGATGTATATCGCCAAAAAAAGTTCCATGAAAATCGGCTTAAATTTTTTTTTCAACAGTTAATTAGAAGAAAACGGCTCGGTAGATTTTCACCTAAAATTAATCAGTACCATTCCCAACTAATATCTTTCAAACAGTTTTTGATTTTTTAAAATCGGTTCGGTAGGATGAGCTTAAATGTAGACGAAAAGTTTAACACTTTTTTTCAACAGTTAATTACAAGAAAACGGATCGGTAGATTTTCACCTAAAATTAATCAGCACCATTCCCAACTAATATCTTTCGCACAGTTTTTGATTTTTTAAAATCGGTTCGGTAAAATGAGCTTAAATGTGGACGAAAAGTTTAACACTTTTTATCAACAGTTAATTACAAGAAAACGGCTCGGTAGATTTTCACCTAAAATTAATCAGTACCATTCCCAACTAATATCTTTCAGTTTTTGATTTTTTAAAATCGGTTCGGTAGGATGAGCTTGAATGTGGACGAAAAGTTTAACACTTTTTTTCAAATTGCAAAGAAACGGTTCGGCAGATCGTCACACAAAACTGACAAACGATAGTCCTCACCGAAATACATCAAATGGCTTTTAAATTTCTAAAATCGGTTCAGGCGTTTTTGAGAAAACGTCGATCAATGGTCTAATTTTGACAAATGCCAAAAAAACGATACCAATTTTTGCAAACTTTGACGAATTTTTAAAGCTGGACCAGTTGTCGTAGGGCCGTAATATTTTAGTATGGCTTGGCCGATCGTCGCACAAAACTGACAAACAATAGTCCTCATCGAGATACATCGAATGGCTTTTAAATTTTTGAAATCGGTACAGCCGTTTTTGAGAAAACTGCGATTTACGGCACAAAATCTGTTGGTGCACACGCACACACACATACTTTTTCCAAATTTGGTCTCATTCGATTCAGAATGGCTTGAAACGTCGAGAAAACATAAAATTAGCGAATCGGATTTTTTGATGAAAACATAAACTTCTCCTTCGGGAAGTTAAATATAAATTTAAATATGAATATAAATATAAATATAAATATAAATATAAATATAAATATAAATATAAATATAAATATAAGGTAAA